CCCATCATTCACGAAGTGGGGAATGGACATAGTCGGAAAAATACCCAAGGCACCCAAATGGGAAGGACCCTATCTCATTGATTCAGAAGCAGGAAATGGGGCATATTGGCTAGCTACCATAGAAGGAAGCATCTTGCCTAGATCGTAGAATGTTATACACCTTGAAGTGTACTTTATGTAAGTCAATTTAGTCACAATCCATCACAACCGAGTCAAGGTACATACCTACTCCTTAACCTCATTTCTTTTCTTTGTTTATTTTTATTCTAAGGATACTACTGACTTAAGCATCTGAAGGAGGGGGGCATTAGCCAAGCTAACGCCCACCCCAAGCTAACGTTTCAACATGCAGCGGATTGAAGACCCTAGCAACCACGAATAGATACTGATCATCTCTTTTCTGATTAAGGGTAATTAATCCCCTCTAAGGTTTAAAGATTTAATAACCTATTTTATCCGTGTTTGGGTTTCCACACCCTTCTTGGACACATGATATCTAACTATGGAATATGGGTAATGGGATCATTTCACGCTTTACTGACTTGGTAACCATCTTATCTCTAAACATATATCTTAAACTTTAATCTACGGTTTATAACATTATCATGTTATCTTATGATTTTGGATATTCCACAATATAGCCTACAATTTATAACATTTTCAGGTTATCTTACGATTTGGGATCTTCCCCAGTATAACCTATGACTTATAACATTATCATGTTATCTTACGATTTGGAATCTTTCCCAGGTAATTCTAATTTGGGATCTTCCCTAGTAAATTCTAAGATGCTATCTTCCCTAGAAAAGGTTAAATTGGTAATTTTCCCAATATATCCTAAGTTGGGATCTATCCCAATGGACTCTTAAGATGAAATTTTTTCGATAAGTCAAAACGATTCTCCTCAGTTTGAGCCTCAAGACCGAAGATTACATCTCCAAAATCAGAATCCTAAAGAGAAGTTCAAAGAGACAACTAAAAGTCTAATGGAAATCTAAGGAAGAAGCTCTCACCAAGTTCTATCTATCCTTAACTTTTATGTTTACTACACCCAAAGTTGTCCTTGAAACAAGAAAAAGATATCGTTTTCTTCTAAATATTTTCCTACTCCTTAACTACAATTTATCTCTTTCAAACCTTAGGATCCTGACTATTTCAAGATCCTAATCAAATAACTATTTATTTTAGATCTTTAAGATCCTAAAAGGTTTTCGTAAACCATAAACTCTTTAGGATCATAATCATCTAAAAACCATTAGAATAATCTACTTTGATCCTATTTCTAAAATCAAATCAACCATGCAAAATATATAGTAAAACCAAAGCATTAAATTTAAAAGGGTTGCCCTCGAATCCGGCAAAAAAGAAATAGTCTTACAGATCAAAATACTAAATTGTTTTTTGAAACCTAAAAACCTAATTCTAGGTTTGATCCCCTTAGTCGGAGTCTCCTCTGTCTCTTTCTTCTCTTCCTCCTTTCTCTTCTTCTTCTATGTAGGATCCTGAATGACATTAATGTGCCTTCCAGTCAAATTGGCCAGGGTTTCATGCCAACCAGCCACATTCTAAGATCTTGTGTTCGCCACATACTCCGCCAACTTAATCTTCGTCTCCCATATGGCTTCGACGACACTTCTCTTAACCTCTGTAATCACCTCCTCGGTCTCCAAGGCGTGCTCCAGGAGGATGGCTTCTCCTTCTTGACCACGAGCAGACCGCTAGACATGGCCTCATCAAGTTCCGAGAGGATGAAGCGAACGCTTGAATGTGTAGCCTTGGATCCTGAAAATTGCAAAGAACCATCATCAGTTCGAGATCCCCAAAATGAAACAAGTAAAAAAGAAGGATCCTTACCAATAGACAGAAGAGAAGTGGTGGAAGAACCTTATTGGAAGCTGGAATGGTCAAAATTCAAAGATATTTTAGCCTCGGGAGAAATTAGAAAGCTTTCAACCTTCTCCTCAGTATCTTCAGCAGCTGGAACAACTTCCTTGAACTTGAAATCTGCGTCAAAACAAAAAAAGTAAGGAAGCGTGAATTTCGGGATCCTTATCACAATTAAATAAAATCCTGCCCTTTTTAATGTAGTTTATTGTCAAGGGATCACCTTTAGGGAGATAGAAATAAGAAGATCCAAAAGTTCGATGATCATAAACATTGGCCAATTTAGCCAACCCTGTGTCAGTGTTTTAGATTGATTCATCCGATCGATCCAAAAAAGGATCCTCCAAATCACATGCATAGTTTGAACATAATAAATTTTTGTAACTTCGAAGAACGCAGAGATAATGCAAGAAATAGGGTATGTCAAGCCCAAGGAGAAAGGATATTCAGGAAAACAAACCCAAGTAGGAAAGACAAATTCAGGTTTGGCCTTAGCATCAAAAGGCTTGAAAATGACATCGGCAGGAAAAGCTCTGATTGATTTCAAGGAATCGGTGTCATTATCTGTCACACCCCCAAACCGGAACGGCGGAAACGTTCGGGGGTGGATGACATCATGTACAGTATCACAACATATGAATAATAGTAATTAATGCACAACAACCATTACATTGATAAAGTATAGTTTTTACATCTGTGTTCAAATCATTGTATATTTGACACTAAAAGTATATAGCAAAAACTAAAATACGTGACTGTATAATACTCTGTCTTCTCAAAACCTACGTGGATACCTGTCTACTGATTCCATAGAATACAAGTAGTTTTGAAAAGAGTGTCAACAATTAAGTTGGTGAGTTCATAAGCATGTTTGTGTTTGAAATCTGTCATTTGTTTCTTGAAAATGTACGTGTTTTCTCCCAGAATATCCTATATTTTCTGTTGTAAATGAACTATAGTCTTAATACTTAAGACCAAAATGTATTACTATTGTTGTACTCTGAAATATCATATCATAGTTTTATTATTAAATAAAACCATATGAAAATTAATGTTTCTCCGAAATGTAAGTTTCTCAGGACTGGAAAATAGTAGTTGTAAGTGTACTTGTATAAAAACTCTGTAAATGTATGTGCCTGGATCCACCAGTTGTAATGTAAAATATTGTATTGTAGATTTATTACTTAATAAAACTATATGAAGTTGTTTACGTATTCGTACACTAATCGTATTATTCAATACCAAATTGTGAATTCTTATAACCATCCTTGATGACCTAAGATGGTCTGATACGACGTTCTTCAGGCGTCAGAAATGGTACGACGTTTATCACCCCAGGACTGCCGGCCTAACTGTAGCTAACAATTTAGGTGCGGGATTGTCAGTCCCATATAGATCTATACACAAGTGTCGCACTCTCCCTCCAGGATACTCTGGTTCTAATTTCAGGGCTTGGTTGGTACTTAGATAAGTACTTGAAGTATGTCTCACAAAGCTATATTGACGGTTACGTGTAGAATAATGAAAAGTTACTTTGTAATTAATAAACTCTATGTGTGTTTCATAAACTATACCTATTATAGTTTATATGTTTGTTTCTATTGAATTGTAACCTGAACTTGATAAAATAGTACGTATGTTCCATAAACTATACCTATTATAGTTTATATGTTTGGTTCTATTGAATTGAAAATCTTTGTATTATTAACGACTTTGCAAGTTTGAAATCATAAATCCGTGATAAAGATATTCCGTGAAATTTAACATTTATGTTCAAACGATAATAAAATAAATTGCAAAAATATTCTCTTTGTTTAACATGTTTAAATAGTTTTATACTTATATATATATATATATATATATATATATATATATATATATATATATATATATATATATATATATATATATATATTTATATAATTACGATTAAAAATGCAGTCGAATAAATGATTCTACCCTAAGTCCACAACCAAACAAGGAACAGGAAATAAAGTGAAATCACTAATTCTACGCCTGTTGAATCTTAATTATATAAATATATACAAATAAATATATATTTTAGTAAAAACAACAATTGAAACTATTTGAAATAGTTGAGATATTAACACAAGATTCCTTGTGTTTACTTGTATCCCCCCTAAAACAATGAAAAATCGTAAAAACCACTACTAGAAAAACAGCCTTTTACGACGCGCAATGTGTGTCGAAAAACGCTCAGACGACGCGTAAATGTGTGTCATGGAAGGCCCTGTCATAACGAGAGACGATACGATTTTGTGCGTCGTCTATTTACGACACGCATTTACGACGCGCATTTACGACACACATTTACGAAACTCATTTACGACACGCAATGCGTATCAAGGAAGGCCCTGTCATAAAGGAAGACGACACACATTTGCGTGTCGTAACCATACGACGCGTCTTTAGGACACGCATTGTGTATCATTAAAGCCCCTGTCATAAATGAAGATGACACACATTTGCGTGTCATAAACTTTAGCAACCATTTACGATATGCATATAAGACGTGCCTTTACGATACCCTTTTACGCATAATACAAAAATATAGAAACACATATATCCCAAAACAATCAATTTCATCCAATAACATCATGTCCAAAAAATGTAATACATTGATATTAAAGGGATCTGATTGTACATTGTTATTAAGAGGTTTTCCCTAACTATATAACCTAATACTACATTGCTATAAAGGGGCACCTTCTTGTTTCAGTAACTCGTCATTAAGCTGTCTGAAGAAACTCTAAAACCCTTCATGTATCCAACCAATCATCATGTTTCTTAGCTTCAATATCAATCCTAACTCTTGATCAAGAACAACACAAAAATCCTACACAATAATCATGTCAGTTGTACAATATCAATATCAACTAATTAATAATACACATGGTATGTATGAGAGTGGAATCAACCATATTCAAATCAATATCAACTAATCAATAATCATTTTAGTTGTACAATATCAATATCAACTAATTAATAATCTGTCACTTTGGAAATCAATCTGTGTCTTTTATATCCACCAACCATATATTTATATTGTAATTTTAAACTAACTAATAACTATATCATATTCAAATCAAATGGAATTACCAACCATCAACACCAACAGGCCAATGCAGAGCCTTAGTTGCAACATCCAGACGTTGCAGAATTGTTTGCTCTGCCTTCATTATAGATATTGAAAACCCTACACCACAACACAACACAAAGATATTAGCCACTTTTTGCATCAGAAAACAAAATGAACTTAATAAACCTGCCATATCAAGAGAAGTCATGAATGACCCTGTATACACTCTAACAACAGCTACTCCATGTTCCAACTGTAAAATAGGAACAGCCTTTCCAGCATCAATCATCAGTTCCATTAAAGGTGTCCCCCCTGATCTGAGATTTACAATTTCCAAATCATAAATCGAATTTGTCAAAAATAAATACATAATTAGCAATCTTATTTACTTTGAAAAAGATAAAACATTATGCATATAGATAGCTTCTGAGTTTTGACTTCCCTTAAAATGTTAACATAGACTAGGGTAAGATACCACTTATCAAAGGGCAAGAAGCAACTAAGCAAGAGAGATTACATTACATACCCGTTAATCATAAGTACAACATGACTCCCATGTTTAATTGGAACATAGTTAGTGTCCTGAAAAGACAGAAACAAGTTACCATAATTTGTATCTTTTATATACTTTGCATCATAAAAGTCACATGGGACTAGCCTCATAATTTGTATCTGTCATATACTTTTCATCATAATTTGTATCTTTCACCAGCATCCATTGTAACAGGTTCTGTTCACAGAAGCTCTCTCTATCGAGAGAGAGAGAGAGAGAGAGAGAGAGAGAGAGCTTCTGTGAATAGAACCTGTTACAAGAAATGGGCCTTGTGCAGTAGTATTATCAGCACCTTGAAATGGGCCTTGTGCAGCAGTATTATCATCACTGGCCTCCTTTATGACATGAGGATCAGGTGAAAAAATCTGGGAGAATAACCAGGGAACAATTGTTCCAGTAGCACCTAATATTAACCCACATGATGCACCTATTATCACCAACAACTTCAACATCATTCGTTCCTGGGCCAAGGGCAAGATCGTAAAATTACATCACCATTATAAAAAACACAAATTAAGTTAAAAATGGTTAATATCACCAACCTTTGAGAGACTTCTTTTAGCGCCATAAATAAGCTTTGGCATAAATGATTGTGCAGTTTGTGAAAGATGCTCAGCCCCTACTGCAAACATGCAGTATACTTGGACAAGGACCTAAAAGTAATTTCTCAAAATTAGACCTTAGTAGAGAGTCAAAGTCAAAGTCAAACCAACCTGATGTTCAACAACAGTTTGTGTTCCCATTGATGTAGCAAAGTACACAAGTAAAGAACAAAATTCGACCTTTGACATCATCATTATAAAGACAGCAGCAATAAGTTTGAATATTTGAAAAAGTTCAGTAGGTGAAGGGACAGCAATGACGTAACCATTATACCCTTTGTCTTTCAAAGCTTCAATCATCATAAATCCTACAACAACCTAGAATATGTGTAAAGTAAAGTGTGACACAACTAAAATTAACATATAAAACAAGTAAATAGATGCAGGTTGTATTGTTGTGATATTTTTCAATTATAGAGTATATATATACTTGTGAAACCGTTGTTGCCCATGTTGCTCCAGCAATACCATAGCCTAAGTATAAGTAGAGGATTACATCATCAACACCATGGATGACACTTACAACTGCTCGAGATTTTAAAGGTCCCCATGAATCTTTCATGCAAAGATTATATCATATGATCACCTTGCACTCTAAGCAACCCAGCCAACAAGAACTGCAGACTATGCTAAACCTCAAATCTACTACCATAAAATGCATACAACGAACCGATTAGACATGAGTAGAACTAAAATCAAAAGATAAAGATAAAGGAAAAATAGTAAAATACTATAAGACTATAAGTAGAATTTAAAGAATAAACAAGTATTGAATGGGTTCTTAGAATTTCAAGAACCTTGTAATCATACCTTGTAATCAGGCACTTTCACATACTCCGGAGACACGAGAAGTATGTTTTCAGGCTTCAAATCAGTGTCAATATAATGATATATTACAAACAATTAGATGTAATTTGTTCATAAATTGTACTCACATTCTCCCATTTTCCCATGAATCTTATCTGCAAGTCATGCAATCAAACAAAGAAAGAAAAGAATTAGTGTAGTGACATAAGAACATGGTTTGGCATGCGGAATTAAAGATTGCACAATGAACATGGTAATTTGGGTGTTCAAGAGATGTATTGATTATGTATGGTGTTACACAAAAAGGATCTAGATCTAGACTACATAAATAACACACACTTACACACTCACTTTTACATCTCTCAAGCACACCTCTACAAGTGGTATGAACCCACTATTTATAGAGGTGTTTACATGTCTCTCTCTCACTCTCACTAACACATGGGTCTAAAGGCTAATGCACCACATGCAAGTGGGTCTACAAGAGTCAAACCATTACAAAGTCATACATGAAGAACTTTGCACCCCAACATTCTCCCCCCTCAAAGTTAGGAATGGATGACCCAGTTCAAATCTTCCAAAATCGAGCAACTACGCGGTTCGAGCCTCAAAGGTGACACATGTCGAAACGAACTTCAATCTTCAATTCTTCCATGATTCTTCAATTTGGGCTCTAGGATGTGAAACCATACAAACCGAGCATCAACGAATGATCACGAGCTTCTCAAACTCCAAATTGATCACCAAAAGTTGAGCATAAAGCACACCCCCCAAAAATCTTCAATAAAACCAAATCAATTTCGAATACATCATTTCCGAACTTCCAATTGCATCATTCCGTAAGCTTCAAAACTTCAAGCTCACTTCGGTCTTCAAATCCGCGTAATATGAAAAATTCAAGTTCGAATTTCCATATACATTTCTCCCCCTTTTTATAATCGAAATTTGATTATAAAACCTTTAAGGAAAGAGAACGTGCTCGATTCGGAATTTTTCGTGTCAAAACTCCCCCTTAACATGTGGCATAAACTTTGTGCTTCAATCCGGAAAATCCAAAAAATATTGAATTTTTAGCTTCGTTCACGGATCGCCTTTGACAAAATTTCTAAAAAATGGGTAGAAATTGTCAATTTCAAAATTCTGCAGTGACCCGGTGTGCCCAAAACAGCAAAATATGCAAAACACTCCCCCTTTTCTAAAGCTGGGTAAAAAGCGTCAATTTGCACAAACTGCAGGGGCTTGAAATGCATTTTCTTCAATTTTCAGCAAAAACAGTCCTTTTTCGAATTTGGGTATGAACCGCCAAACATTCGAAGCCTCAGGGACTATTTTCGAAAATTCTGCCATTTGTGTTCCAAACATACGAAGAGTTGACCAAACATTCGAAATTTCAGAAAATATTTGAATTTGGGTGAAAAGTGTCAAACATTTGAAACTTCAATTAATTATTGAGTTTGCCAAACATTCGAAATTTCAAGGGCTGAATTCGAAAATTCTGCTTTTTGATCAAAAACATATGAAATTTTGACCATTCATACGAAGCCTTTTTCCATTTGTCAACCATTCGAAACTTGAGGGACTACATTCGAAAATTTTGCTTTTCCTTCCAAACATACGAAATTTTGCAACGCTTCGTATGAAAGCATCTCCTCTTCATACGAAAATTTTCCCAAACACACGAATTCGAAGCATTCGAAGCCTCTTAATGAACAGTAACCTCTGAATACCTCTGAATCGACATTTCGTTCTTTACAGTTCTTCTCCAATTCATCAACAGCAAAGTTTCGTTCAATTTTCTCTACCCAATCAAACGAAATCATAGCACCATATGAACGAAATTTTTCACTTCTTTCGTTCCCAATAACCCCATCTGTTGCCCTTCGAATCTTATTCACCCAATTCCAACACAGACGATCATTTGTTCACAAACATAATTTCGTTTGTTCAACATCAACTCAACAGCAACATCAAATCCCAAATCTTCGAATCTTAACCCAAATCGATCGTTAACCCTTCGTTCATTAACAATCGAAATCATCTTCCCAAATCTTCGTTCTCCCAGTCTTTATCCTTCGTTAACCCAGTAACCCCTTCATTCAAATCCAAAACACCAAACCAATTTCTTCAATTAAGCCTTCGCTTTTTGTTCAAGAACCCAAAAACCATTCGATACTCAAACCATAGATTGTCCAGACGATAACTTCATCGAAATCAATTAAACATCAAGAACAAGAACATCGACCACAAAGATATCAATCGACTCCAACCCAAAATCAATCTTCCCTGTAGATGCGAACGAACACTCATACAGACACGAAATCAAAACAATCATTAAAAGACCTTATTCCCATTTCGTTTCTTTTATTATCGGTATCTTCATTCCTCATCAAGATCATAAACCCAATCAATTTCAAACGATCGACCACAGTTCTTCATTCGTGTTTTGGCGTATAATCCAGAACAAATCCACATCGACACCAAAAATTATCAAAATTGAATTCAGACTCATCAAAAACTCATCATCAACACCTAAAACGAAAACATATCCATCTGATTCTGTATCGATTTTGAATCTTAGAATCATAAGAACCGATCTTTGACTTTTGAGTTGACTCTTCAATTAAATCGATTATTGATTGCTTGCTTAAAATCGATTTTGAGTTTATACAAACCAGATAGAATCGATTCACAAAACAGATTTTATAATCAACAATCGCTAAGAAAGACACGAAGAAATCATATTCGTATTAACATTCAAGAACGCTGAATAGTACAAGTCTTTTAAGCGTGTGACTAATTCAGGGATATGCTTGATAAACCATACGCTGGAATCGAATTTGGGCTCACACCATTGTAAAATCGGATTTAATGGAAAATCGATTGGGCTTTGAAAGCTCACGGATGAACAGTAACCAAGTATTTTTGATTGGGCTCAAAAACAAAATTATTGGTGAACAATATCAGATTGATTGTTTGGGCTGAATCAAATACGATGAACAGTAACAAACTCTTAAATTCGAATCAAATACAAGATGCTTTTTGAACTAAATTTTGATTCAAAACAACAAGTTCAAATTTAGAATTGAATCAAACAAACGGATTTTAGATTGGATCGGGCTTGATCTAAAAAAAATTATTGGATCAACAATGGAGTTTTTCAAGAAAAATTTGATCCAATGAGTCAAACGATCACAATTCAAAAACGCAACGCACGATTTAATGAGATTAAGAGAGATCATAGAGAGAGACTCACCAAAATTGCTCAAATTGTGACAAAAATTGCCAAACCGAGAATCGTTCTTCAAAAATACCATGATCTTGAAGACCCGCTCTGATACCAATTGTAGTGACATAAGAACATGGTTTGGCATGCGGAATTAAAGAATACACAATGAACATGGTAATTTGGGTGTTCAAGAGATGTATTGATTATGTATGGTGTTACACAAAAAGGATCTAGATCTAGACTACATAAATAACACACACTTACACACTCACTTTACATCTCTCAAGCACACCTCTACAAGTGGTATGAACCCACTATTTATAGAGGTGTTTACATGTCTCTCTCTCACTCTCACTAACACATGGGTCTAAAGGCTAATGCACCACATGCAAGTGGGTTTACAAGAGTCAAACCATTACAAAGTCATACATGAAGAACTTTGCACCCCAACAATTAGTCAGTATTAAAGATATATATCTAAAAATACAAGTCAACAAACATAAGTTTTATGAGTGCCTATAAATAAAGAGTAAAAAACCACCGGTTCCTATTGGTTTGTATTCTATTAGTAGCAACTATGCAATCAAGCAAATGAAATTTCTTTGATGGTGGTGAAGGGTAGTTACATCGGGAAGTTAGATTATCTCCAAGTGCAAACACATAATGACCATCTTTATCATCTTCATGCCATGGGGGAGAAGCATTTCGAGCCACACGCTTAACAAGGGGAGAACTAATGTGGTCTGATGGTGAAGACGACTTGAAGATATCGACATCAAAGATACCGCACTGCTCTAATACTCTCCCTAGAAACCGCACCTTCTGGCCACTTTAATTTGGTCTTCTGAAGTATTTTTCTGCACCGTGGATGCAACAACCATTAAAAAGAACAAAATCATATTTCAATAATTATATTGAACTTTTTTTTTTACCAAAATATGTCTGATCTTACTTGGCTCTCTGAACCATATGCTCTGGTAAAGGTCCCAGTACCCTCTCCATCATTGCCAAGTGTTCTAAATTATCATGAGTCTGAAATAAAGCTTCACCCTGAAAGATTTCATCATATCTTGTGTAAGTACATGATGCAATGATATATGTAAATCAGTTTATAAACTTACTGAAAAAGGAAGAAGAAAAGAAAACAAATCGTAAATTATTCAACAAGTATGCAGCAATACTCCACATGTCACATGGGTAGCTCCATCCAATGCATGCGACTTCTGATCAACACAAGGAAGACGACGTTATTGAGAGGGAGGCTTGTTGTACGAGACAGATCACAAAGAAGATCTGATGGTCGTTAAACCAGACCTAGTGCTTGTAAACTTGAGCATCTGTGGCGGTCTCCATCGAGGTAAGGTTAGCCCAAGCTCGCCGGCGAAAAGAGATGAGTCGAGATCGTTGGTAGATGAGGTGAGACAAGGTAGCGAACGTTGCAGAGAGCACTCCCATCTTGAAAAGAACCCTAGAATGATCCCTTCGATTTTTTGATAAAATAAATAGTCCGGAGGCACGTTTAAGAATTA